ATTTTTGGAAAGAATGCATGACAAACTAGGGAACGGTCTATTTGGTCCATATAGACCAAATTTTTAATCAAGGAACACCCTCCACCACCACCACCACCCACCACCGCCGCCAATGGTGTCCTGCTTTAAATCTGTGCAAACAATGATTGCAGGACGTGTGAGAGAACATTAGAACTGTTTGTGATATACATATACCACTTTTTTTCAAAGCAAATTAACTATGCAAGTGTATGATATGTGGATATTATATCAAGAAAACTACTAAAAAGAAGGACATGTTTTTGTTTAGGAGCCATTGAGTTTACATTAATGGTGGTGGAACAATTTGGAAAAGGCTATCAATAATGGTTGGGCAACATGAGTAGGATAATCAATGGCAATGAATTATACATGTAGAAGTTGTGGAATTGGAGAATATTTTGTTGTATGTATTTTTGCCACAATTTTAAAAAACAACATGAATAACAGTGAGTACAAGGAAGAAGAAAATGTTCTAGAATTTATTGTGATGATGATTGTACCACTCTTCTTCATAGGATTAAATTATTGACTTGTATGACATGTGGATGAAGTGCTAATGAAACTAAAAAGAAAAAGAAAGCCCCAGTCGCTGAGTTCCAGCTTGTGTTTCTAGGTCCCATCTTCAGCTATCCCCAAGCCCCGCCTCTGACCTGTCGCTGCAGCTCTGATTGGCCAGCTTGATTTGGAACCTGGCCTTTGTTCTGTAATAGTCTCAGCAAGAGAGCAAGGGACAGCAACAGGGAGTGACAAGAGTCGGGACACATATGGGAAGTCCAAATCTGGACTCATGACCAACTCCTGTCTACCAGAGTTTCACACCCCCTCCTTGTTCCTTCTTCTCTTGCTGAGTGTACCTGACTCTTGTCCAAGTGGCTACAAGGTGTGAGATGCCTAGATAGGAAAACGTCCAACAGTTGGTCTGAGCGGAGGACAGGGAGGGCCTCAGTATCCCAAAGACATGGTGATGTGCTTATTTTCTGTGTCTTGTGCATCCTTGTATGTGTACATGTGTTGAGTGATGTCTTATCTGATCCTTGGTAGTCTCCACATGTAGCTTTGTGTCATTGTGCTGTCTGAGAATGAGGTTGATATTTTGGAGTGTTTTATTCAATATCCAACAGGGCACATGGTCATATTTCTACTTGTATGTATCCTAGAATGTGGTTGGGGGTCTGAGTGTCAATCACAGAAGGAGACAAACCTCACAGGCACATGGTCCTAGATAAAAACACAAGTGGTCCCACCTTTGAGTCATGGACTCACTGGATCCATATCTAATTAAGGCTCATCTTGTGCCAATTCTTACCCTGATTGTCCAGAGGGAAAAGGTGGGTGAGCGCTAAAAGTTATGTGTATGTGTTTGGGGTCTCTTTACAGACATGTCCCAAGGTTCACCCTGACATGCTCAACGTGCACTTGGTGGCCCACACGCACAATGATGTGGGCTGGCTCAAGACGATGGAGCAATACTTTTGTGAAGGTGAGTAGAGGTCTCAGCCCAACAATGTAGGGGGTTCTTCCCCAGGATATCCATGCCTCATGTGAGCCTCTCCTGGACTAACCATTTAAAAGACTTTGCCTCACTGAGCCCCAAGCATCATAGGTTGGGCTGTGCCTGACAGCGTATTTCTTGTTCTCTGTGGTCACTTCTCCACCCTACACTTACTGCTCACCTGCCACACGTGCAGATCCATCGGTGTCCTCACCTAACTGTGTGGTGAACATCCTGAACTCAGTGGTGAAAGCCCTACTGGCCAACCCCACCCGCCGCTTCATCTATGTGGAGATGGCCTTCTTCTCCCGCTGGTGGCAGATCCAAACCAAGTCAACACAGAAGACTGTGCAGGAGCTGGTGCGCCAGGGTAAGCTTTTCCCGTGGGAATAAAAAGAAAGCCCCACCTAGTTTCCATTTCTGCATCCCTTCTCGGCTCTTCTTTCTATGTGCATGTGTGTTGCTCTGGCTATTTGAACTGTCCCTGCATCCTAGGAACTCCTCTGCATCCTTCAAGAGCTCTCCTTCAGTGGCCTCTTATTTCAAGAATCAGCCTGACCTCTTCATTCCCTGGTCCCACTGGACCAAGAGGTGACCTCTGTCTCCAACTCTGAGTATTCAGCACTCTCACCCTGGCCTCTGTCAACACTAATCTGTGTCCTCTCTCCATCATCATGCCCCTCCTGGCCAGGGCGCCTGGAATTTGCCAACGGCGGCTGGGTGATGAATGACGAGGCTACCACGCACTATGGCGCCATCGTGGATCAGATGACACTCGGGCTGAACTTTCTGGAGAACACGTTCGGCAAAGATGGGCGTCCCCAGGTTGCCTGGCACGTTGATCCCTTTGGTCACTCGCGAGAGCAGGCCTCGCTCTTTGCCCAGGTATCGCTGCACCAAACCCTTGACTATACCCTTGCCATGACCACTTATTTTATTTTTGGCTTCACCGTATGTGCCCCTGGTTGAGGTGCTCCCCATCAGATTATTCAGGCCTGTATCCTCTCTGTCCCCTTCAAGTGCTTCTGTCTTTTCAGATCAGAGTTGGCCCTTCGCCTAGCTGATTCTAGCTGACACAATGGCTTTCATCCACATCCACTCTAAATTCTGGCCATGCTCCAAGCATGAGTGGAGTGCCACCTTATAGTTAGACTAGGTTTATTACCACCTACTGAGTCTATACCCTTCTCCCAGCAACAAGGGAAGTTTGAAGGTTAAGAGTGGAAGACGATCCCCTTTATCTGCCTGGGTTTCAACCTTCCACAAGCCTGTGTTCTGAACTTGTTTCCTGTGTCCAGATGGGCTTCGACGGCTTCTTCTTAGGGCGCGTGGACTACCAAGATAAGTACATTCGAGAGAGAGCTCATCAGATGGAGCAGGTGTGGCGGGGCAGTGCGAGCCTACAACCTCCCACTGCTGACCTCTTCACCAGTAAGTGTGATGTGGAGGTGGGTGGGAGAGAGAATCAGGCACCTGACCTGCTTCTGGAGTCCTTGGAAGGCCCCTCATCTCACTCCATGATCTGGCTCACAGGTGTGCTCCCCAACATTTACAGCCCACCATTTGGATTTTGCTGGGATATGCTTTGTAGAGACCCACCCATGGTAGATAAATATGGCATCCCCACGTCCAGCGCTGAGAGACTGGCAACACAGTTCCTGACTATAGCTGATAATCAGGTACCCTTGACCAAGACATGGCCCTAACCAGATACCACTGACAACAGCCTCTGGGTCTCAAACAGATAGCATTTAGTTGACTGTACCTTAGCATTGTCATCTTTCAAATTCCTATCATAACTTTATTTCTCAATGAAAACCAAAGGTGCTGACAGCCAGAAAGGTGAATGCAATGTGCGTGTGCCCACTGGCCTAAACTCACACAGCTAGTGGATGTGAGTCCAGGCAGTCTGCCTCAGGAGCCCACGCATGTTTCCTAGCACAGAAACTAACTCATTTTTTCCAATCGCACACTCCCTCCCATTCTGTTCAAGAAACATCGTGGCACTGTTGACTGGGCTCGCTGTAACTGCTAGTGATTCCTTATAATAATTATAAATCTATTCTCACATTCCACCATACTACATGTAGCCATCACAATACACTAAAGTGATCAGATTTTAACATTGGTAAAGCGGGACACCATTGACGCGGGGGTGGGGTGGGGCGGTGTTCTTGATTAAAAATTTGGTTTTCCCGCCATTCCCTAGCTTGTCGTGCATTTGTTCCAAAAATCGGGACTTTTTAAAAACGCCACGGGACGCAGGACAAATTGTTAAAAATAGGGACTGTCCCACCAAAAGCGGGACATCTGGTCACTTTACAATACACACATGGATATGTGTCTATAGTCTTGAAAACCCACGAAACAGACATTCACAGGACAAGGTTTCAAGGCACTCTGGTCTAAGAAGATCCAACCATTCTGTACCCAGGCCAGGCACTACCGCACCAACAACATCATAATGACAATGGGTTCCGACTTCCATTATGGGGAAGCTGAAAGATGGTTCAAGAACCTTGACATGCTCATTCATCTGGTCAATGCACAGGTAAGCTAGACCTCCCCTACTGGACTTGGTGTGTCCAGTGCAAAGAGAGAGAGAAAGGATGAGGTCTCTTCTTGATATCTCAAATAAAGATGACGAGTTGAATTTACTGCTTCCTTAAGGGCTGTGCTCATAAGACACGTAAGACACAGCTTTTCTTAGAGCAAAGTGCTCTGTGACATTGGGCTGTGGGGAAGAGTGGTGTTCAGAGTTGGATGGTTATTTAGAGATGGGGTGGTAGAAACTGTAACCACTCTGCATGACTGCTACCCAGTTACTTTCATAAATGTAGTCTCTGAGGCAAAAGTTTAACAGAGATTCTGGTAGCCTCAAGTGACCGTGCCTACAAGTGCCAACATGGTCCTTGTCTGACCTCCTCTAACTTCACGAGGGAGAGAGAAATCCCCTTTTGGATTAGCCTGAGCCTGATTTGTATGAAGTGGAGGTCAGAGAAATCTCCTTACTCCAGCGTTTATTAGAAATGCCAACACCAACCTGCCTCCCAGCCTCCTCTCAGTTGAGTTTGATTTTAGTAAGCGAAGTGCTTCTGATTTGATTTGGGTCTTGTCTTGTTTTATTTCTTCGTGGTTTCCCCTTATTTTTCTGGCAACAACGGCAGTGCATGTTTTGAACAGCATGGGAAGGTCGAGGTATAAATCGGAGAGTTGAAAGTTCTTTCCGTAGTTAAAAATAAATCATGTGGCCTAACTATGTAAGTATAATACATTAGGTAATGTTATTATTTTGGTCTTTCCTAACCTAATTTAAGTTGTAGCTGTGTCATTGGAAGTATGTTCAAGATCATCTGCATGCCCATTGCTTGTATTATGCTTATGGAAGTTTATAAAGCTACCGTTCTAATTTTTCTTGGTGGTTTGTGCATAAAGAGCGTTTTGAAGGAATGCTACCTTCTCAAGGATTGGGACTATATGAGTGCCATGTCACATTTAAAAATCAAAGTAACACGATCCCTTGAACTGCAACAGGAAAGCACGTCATCACTGCAACAGTGGGAACTGTCTGTTGTCAGTGCCTACAGCTTACCCCGGGCTGTCCGATGTGTGTCCTTGCAGAACTGCATGTTCCGTTGTCATTCTATGTATTTGGTGTCCAGATAATTGTGCCGCGCCTCCAGTCACACGAACCAGTAGTTGTTCTTTCAAATCAGCATGCAAGCCTGATTTTCCTCTTATCTAAAAAACGATTTCCCACCAACTTACCTGAAGACAAAGTTAGTGTTACCATAGCATTGAGAACTTGTGCAATTTTAATGCTTTCATCCATGTTAAGCCCCTAGAACAATGTCTGACACGTGTTAGTTGCCATCAAGGTGGTTTCGACCGATAGCAACCCCAAATACCACAGAACAAAACACTGTCTGATCCTGTGCCTTCCTCACAACGGTTATATTTATGCTCATTGTTACAGTCAGTGTCTCAATTCAGTTCATTGAGAATCTTTCTCTTTTCCCCTGCCCCCCTACATTTTATCAAGCATGATGTATTTTCACAGCAACTAGTCTCTCCTGATAACATGTACAAAGTATGTGAGACAGAGAGAGCTCCTGACTTCTGGGTCTAGATAGGCACTTAGATACATGCATGTGAAAAACCCCTACAATAATCAGGAGAAAATCAACATGAAAGAAACGCCACATGTCTGAACTCGGAAGAAAAGATGAAAGCTAGTTGAACTCAATCTTCCACATTGCAAGAAGAGTGGGTTTAGGCAGAAGAAAGGGGAAACATGAGGACCTGCTCCCTCTACTGCTACCTAACCTAGCCGACATGCTCCTTCCTGGTGCCACTGCCTAGCCCAGCCCACATGCTCATGCTCGGTGCCATCACCCCAACTAGCTCATACATGTGCACTTGTGGTACCCCATCACCTAACCCACGTTCCCAAGGCAGCCCCCAAAGAATTTTCCCCAAAAGCATTTTTATTACCCCTTCTCTCTCTCCCTTTCTTTTTTTCTTTCTTTCTTGTTTCCTTTGTTATTTTTTCATCTTTCTGTTGTATGGTTTTCTATTGTTCATTTTCTGTGCCTCCTAATGTGATCAGCTATCCCCATGTGACCCAGCCTCCCTCACACCCTTAACAGCTGCCTCACAATGTCATTGAGAAAGCAGTCATTCTTGGTCCACACAAAGGAATCAGAAAAACAGGCACCAACAAGTGACCCAAAGGAATTTTCCGAAGAATAAAATAGTCTGAAAATACCAGAAAAACAATTCAGAAGATTGATAGTCATGTACTTTCAATAAGTGGAGAAAACGATCGAGAGAGCTACAGGGGGGTGGGGAGGGAAAGGAAAGGTAGATATCACAACAACCAAAACAAATAGAATACCAGAAGAATAATACTAATCGAATTAGACAATAGTTTAAAAGAGTAAAGTGATAGAATTGAAGTAATGGCAAGTTGAATTAATGAACTTGAAGTCAAATCTCTTGACTCTAATCTATGTGAACGATCAACAAAAAGAGCAAAAAGGCCTTAAAAAAACCCCAAGACTTGTCTGAGACACTGTCAAGAGGTACAACGCACCTCGCAGTGGGACCAGAACAAGAAAAAAACAACAAAAAGTCAAACAAGAAATCCTGAAAGAAAACTTCCCTCACAGCATCAAATAGGAGACAATATCTCTTCAAGCAGCCGAGTGAACCCCAGACAGGATAGATTCCAGAAGAAAAGCTTGGGGTTCTTTCCTGTTCTTTGCTGTTAGAACGTTTGAGAAGAATATGCTGTCGTGATTTTCTTTGAGGATCAATTCTGTTTGGTCGTCTCTGGGCTTCTTGTATAGTTCTATTCTGTTCTGTCATCATATTAGGAAAATTCTGAATTAATGCTTCTTCAAATATGTTCTCTGTTGTTAATATGTCTTCTTTTTGGTCTGGGATGTTTATCAAATATAAGTTGTTCCTTTTGATAGTATCCCATCGAATTCTTAAGGGTTTTTTGGTCTTTTTTTATAGCTTGACTGTGGTAGGTATATAATCGTTTTTAAATTTGAGAATTAAGAGTATAGGGGTGGAGCCTAGCTTGTCAATCAGATCATAGCCAATGAGACCTCTGGGTGGACTTGGCCTTCTCCTGAGAATTCTGGGAAATCCAGGACTTCCTCCTTGGAGGTGGGAGACACTGTCTGTCTCTGCTCACACCCTGGGAGACATAGCAGCTGATAAGACACGTGGACCCACCCTGATGCAGCCCTGGGAAGCCATACAGGGACCCCTGCCAGCGCTGAGATGTTTCCAATGCCACTGGATCCAAAGACTTTCTACCCATTGGCCTGTGGTCTTCTACATTCGGTGTCATTGTATGTGTTTTGTGAGTCTGAAGAGGGCTTTATAGATTGATATCGGACATATGGGCTAATATTGGACTTATAGACTTGATCTGGACTGAGCTGGGGTGTTTTCTCAATGTTCAATTGCTCTTGTATATAAATCTCTTTCTTATACACATATGTATGTATGTCCATGGATCTGTTTCTCTGATCTACCCAGACTAACCCATTGACCATGTATTTTCGGTCTCATGAAATCTGTGTTCAAGACCGCTGATCTTCAATTCTTCTATTTTGTTATTTCAAAATGTTATCCAGTTCCAATGTTTTAGTGTTTTCTTTTCAAATTTCTATTTGGAGTTGTTGAATTATTTCTAGTTTCTTACTTATTTTGTCTGATTGGTCTTGTATGCTTTTCTGAATTCCTATCTTCTTTTCTCCCACCCTCCACCCCCACTCCCCATTCTCTCTTTCTCTCTCTCTCTTTGTGGGTTGCTTAAAGCAGCTGAAACTTCCTTCTAAACTCCCTCATGGGAGGATTCAAAGCTTTTTCCTCCACCAAGACCACCTCCAGGCCCACCTCTGTATGTATTCCAGTCAATTGAGCGGTTTTCTATTATCTCCAAATGTGCATAGAGACTGTTTCTTCCAAGACACGGCATTGTTTTTATTTGTTTGTTTGTCCCGAACCACACAGAAATCCTCACTCCCTTGTAGATCCCACAGAGCCAAGTCAGTTATCTCAGCACTAGTCTATCCTGAGCAGGAGCCAAAGGCAGGAAACAATTAAATGTGGCCCCAGTTGAAATACTGGCTTCAAATCTGGCTGCAAGTCTCCAAGTAGTGCCAGACAATGACCAACGCAACCAATATGAAGGGAGAGAAGAGAATATTCAAGACACTACCCTCCTGCCAACCTAAATTGTATTCATTGACTCTGTATAGCAGGGCTGGATCCAGAGCCTATATAAACGTAGAATGACAGACCAGCAGGTAACAGGTAACTTGGAATCCTGGGTCCACTCAAACTCTACTATGCTGATTTTCTCCTTAACACAGGCCCACCTACTTCTGAATTTGGGCACAATTTATTCCCTGAGAATTCCAGCCAGGCATTAAAAAGCCACAGTCTAGTCCCTGAGTGTTCCAGTTGGCCATTGAGAGTCAGCCTTTAGCTGTTCTTAATCTCCCCTATCCAGCTGGAATGCAGCAAGCAGGCCACGACCCTCTCAACCCGGGGATGTGGGAACCTGTGAATTTTCCCATCAGAGTTTAATCACATTTGCTCCTCCCCAGTGAACCCAATTCCCTCTGCCCTGCCCACCCCCTGCCACTCCCAGTCCCAAGTATTTTGCGGGAGAAGTATTAGTGTCCACTCTGTGTTAGTTAGGGTTGGGTATGAGGAGGTGTCAGCTCACTCTTTCCCCTCTCCTCAGCTGAGATCCACGTACTGGGAATGGAGAAAGAGGCAACTGTGCAGGTGTAATACCCAGCACAGAATCCACAGCTTTTAAAATGTATTCTTTGCGTCATTTCCTTTCTCTGAAATACTAAGGTGTAATTGGAAGAGGTTGCTGTTCCTCACGCGAGGTCCAGACTTCAGGCTCCTGAGTCTAGTTCACTTTTCCAGAAGTTTCTTTGATGAGGATTTCATAGAGGCTCTAACTGCATGACCATCTTGAATTGAACTCTCCTAAGCAACAAAGTTAATCAA